ATAATTCACCAGACTTTCAGATTAAAATATTTTCAAATATAAGAGAACAAATATTCTTCACCTTTTCGTGCATATTTTGTTATGTATTAGCGGTCTTCAATAATGGTCTCTCCGGAAACTTTACTCCTAATAGCCGTGAATATCTTATCTTAGCTATTGTAATTAAGTAACATTTATACACAATTCTAAATTTATTTATTTATAAAATAATTCAATATAGTTTCCTTTTATCTTGTTAATAAATAATAACAAAATTTATACAAGTTTAAATTTTAAATAGCAAATAACTAGGAAGAAGAATTAGATAAATACTAGAGATAAAATCGTTTTCTTTCATTTTCTTCAGCAGTATGTTATAGCTTCATGTGAACCAGGCAAATTTCAATTAGGGAGCCCCACGTGCAGTGTTCACTTCATACATTTTTTCTTCGGGAGAATTTTTGAGGAATCTCTCGGTATCTATTTGCATTCAACACTATCCATGCAAAATAAAAAAAAAAACCTAAAGAACAATTTTAGTTAAATTTCATTAAAAATAAAACAAAACAAAACTAGATATATACATTTATGAACAATTAAATGTAATCCCCAAGAAAACTTCATAAATAATACACTTAATTAAATTAGTATGTACGTTTTTGCACCAAATAATTGATTAATTAAACAATAATTAGAATAATATTTTCAGTACTAGACAATATAATTGTTGTTATATGTTTTTTCTGTTAGGATTCAGTGATTGAAATTGAAAATGAAGATGATAAAACAATAATTAGAATAATAATTTCAGTACTAGACAATATAATTGTTGTTATATGTTTTTTCTGTTAGGATTCAGTGATTGAAATTGAAAATGAAGATGATAATCTTAACGGCAGCCATACAAAGTAAGTTTATTTTATTATTTAATAAGTGATGGTACTTATAAAATTGTTACAGTAATACCTGTCTATGACAACCACCCACGGTTTCTTCAAAAAGTGGTCTTTTAGACAGGTTGTCCTGTAATAACATATTTCTGTATGTATTTTGCACACTTTTTAGCCATTTCTACTAAAAAGCAAAACTCGAGGTGAGCAAAAATAAGCAAATTTTTTCAACAATAGAGATATTTTATTCTTATCGGATAACCCAATTTACAGGAGTCGTGATATTATAAGACATATTTAATACCAATATTTTGAAGATTAATACAATCATATTTTCTCAATTATAATGCGCACACTTTTTTTTTTGACTTAAATCGACTCTGTTCTTTTAGTTTGCTCCTCAGTTACATGTATTACGTCATCAATAAACAAGNCTATTTTCTTACATAATTTGACTATTTGAAAATTTTGCATTAGTTTTGTGGCATTGGATCTGGCAACAAAAGTATCTGTTGTATGTGTATAAGTAAAAGAATGGCACAAATTGCTTCAAAGAGTTTGACTGACATAAGCAAACAGCAAAAACGTAGGGTAATGTAATAGTAAATTATAAGCTTACTGTATTGGAAAACAATAGAAATTCATTACAATTAAGCAACTATCACTGTTTAGTTACTTAAATAATTATTACTAGTCTAAATATTATATCATTCATCAACACCAGCTAATGCTTGAATTTTGCACAAGCTGTATACAATTTATTGAATTGGGAAATTTATGGCATTTCTGTTTGAGACTGACTACATGCATTATAGTCTAATTCATTCTTCTGTTACTGTGCAATCAACTGCAGTATGTAAGTTTGGTTTTAAGTTAGTGCTTACATTTGGCATGCATCATTGTTTTCTGTTTTCTAACAGTCATTTTAATTTTTCTTTCTGACAGAACTGTTTTACAGTAAAACATGACAAGACAAAGTGCATGGTTAAGGATGAATGGCTTCATAAAACTGACTCAATGGTTTTGTGGTGTCATCTTGTGCCTTTGATCTTTTCTGTACATTGCGTACTTCTACTATCAGTGTATTTAGCAGAGGTTTTCCTGCAATCCTACAACATTTAGGATACAACAAACACTGAAAGAAATGCAATGCTGCCTTTGATCCCAAGTGATTAAGAATGACAACTATTCAGTTGCCTCAAAGTCTCTGCTGAAAGTTTTCCCAATTTGTGTAATGGAAAATCAGGTACCAGTTCAGAGCAACTATCAGTTAACCTATCACTGATACAACTTTGTAATGTAAAAGTTGCTGCTTGTACTGCAGAACTTATTTGGACTATGAAAAAATACCCAGCAATTATTCATTTTCATCTTATGGTATAAAGGAGACAATGCCATATGCTCAATCTTCCAAAGAAATTTTCATTGTTGCATCAAAAAATTAGATACATGATCACTGAAGCTCTGGCCCCTTATTTCTTTGATCAAATGGTAGATGATGCTCAACATTTTACAGTATCAGTTATGATGACACATGCAACGTAGAAAACTGAAAAGAACTCCAAATTCTGATCAGATAGTGGTCAAAGCAAAGACATGAAATTGACTGCAGGCATCTCTAGACTTCATTTATTGGTCATTCAGATGCTGAAACAATTAAATAAAAAATTATGTTGGTCATTTAAACTGTACATCATGTCCTCTTGATAAATTACTTTTGATATAATGTTATGGTCCAAATATAAAAAACACATTGCATTTTCTAAAGCATATTCCTGAAAAGAAATCAGCTTAATTAATGAATGGTGTTTCATACAAGATAATTTCAGAATCTTTGAAATGTTCTACCATCAAAGCTGAACTTTATTTCAAAATATCTAGTACAGAGCTATTTACAAAATTTATTTAGCTGTTTCAGGGTCCCTTAATACATAATTTTATATGTGGATTGTTTAATCTGGTGTGATCTTTGTTGGGATGGATTTTAACCACTGAATGCATGAAAAGTATAGTGGAAGATAAACTACCATATGAAAGATGTCTGTTTGCAGCAAAGAATCTACTATTGAGAGAGAGATAACATTCAGCACAAATTTGAAAGAAGGTTGAATTCCTTGCAAAAAAAGATTCTTTCTTTCAAAAACCAGATGCAAAAGCACTACATGCTTGCACTTACTTATATACTTACTTGCACACTTGAAAAGTCACCAAGTGAGCTCAATGATATTAAAATCATTAAGGTGTTTGAACCATGTGAAAGAATTTTACAGAGAAGTTATACAGACATAATCAGGATTACAAAATGCTTACCATTTGATATTCCAATGGACATCTTACTTGACAAGTGGAAGCTACTTTAGTCGGAGCCTGAATGAGCTGATCAAAAGGAAGTTAATAGAATTGACCATTACTAGAAACATTTTTTTGGGTTACAGAATCCTGCTGGGATGCCAAAATACCCAAATGTGTCTAACATAGTCAAAACATTGTTGGCTCGTTCCCTTGACAATGCTGATGTTGAATGAGATTCCTCTATTTCTAGATGTGTTCTGACAGAATACAGAGCAGCAATGTTAGAATGAGTGATGAATTCATTGTTGGTAATAAGAGATGGAATAGTAATGCTTTTTTGGTGCCAATTACAAAAGAAATTACTTGACATAGTCCACAATCCACATTCTAGTTACAAAGCCTTTTTGGAGATGCAAAATAAATTGAAAGAAGAAAAAAAGACAGAAGAAAGAACAAGAACAAAGGGAAATAAAAGAAGAAAAGAAAGAGATACTTGAATTGGAGAGAAAATAATTGATACACTTGAAGCTGAGTTTAAGCAGTAAAAAAAAAAAAAAGGAAGACAACATTCAGAGAAAAGTAAGGGCTAGAATGTTTAAAGAAGCTAGTAATTGATTACAAAAGGCAATTAAACAAAACAATGTTGTAAAAATTTATCTTACTCAGGTATGTTTGAAGGTATGAGAAAAGTTCAAACTGAAGAAGAGGAGAGTACAAGAGAAGTAGAGAAACTTCTGGAAAGTTAAACAAAAGAAAATCATGGTTAATAACAAAGTTCTTCAGTAAGAAACAAAAAAAGTGACTTAGGACTGAAAATCTAATAAGATATGTCAATTTCAATAATTTTCCAACTGATCAAATATTTGTTTTAATATGAAACATGTAAAAATGGTTGTACTAATAAAGGAAAGATAACACATAACTTCTTAGAATTTTTCTTTAAATATGCATTTATCTTGAATCAACATTTTGATTTTATATTCAGGCTGAATTAAATATTGTAAAGCACAAAATGTGATGACATGAACATAAACATACACATTTCTGGTGTAGGCTTTCATTAACTTTGTAATTTTGAGTCTTTCACAATACTTTTAACATTATTTGCTTTTTTTTTTAATTTGGACTTGTTTTTCTCACTTATTTTTGTTGTCATGGCTGCTTTAAGGCCTGTGTACAGATACTTTTTAGATCTGGACTCTAGGCAGTTATAACTAGCTAGTTTGCCTAGATCTGACTTCAAACCTATTTTTAAGAAAAAAATTCAAACAACCTTGAATGAATTTTTAATAGTATAGAAAAATTGCCAGATTGAAAATATCTTTGCCAAATTACCAAATGGCTTGAAATATTGCTAAATCCCTACCAAGTTTATGTCTCCCAAATAACAACCATACGTCATGGCTTCAGTAATAAATCACATGTGGGGAGGACACTGTTCACCATGGGTTAGTTTTACCACATGATATATATCCATTGCCTTATTATGCATGCCATGGCAAAACAATGTAAAAGATGCCTCTTGAAAAAGTCTATTGGAATTGGTTTGTAAAACAAACCAATTCCAATAGATCAGAAACATTTCAAAATATTGATGTATTGGATTGGTATTATCAATAGTTATATTTGTTAGTATAGTTTTTTTTGTATGGTTTAATTACAAAAAAATTCCTATAGAACAAATTTTTCGACTTTAAATTTGAAGTCATTAAATTGAAGGCCTGCAGTATTTTTTTATATATATATATATATTATATATTTTTATATATGATTGATGCTGTTTATAATAATTCTAATTAATCTGATGTTAAATTTATTAATTTCCGTTACTGCTTACAGTTAAGGATACGTCTGAAACACAAGGCCATTCTCCTGATGAGTATGTTATGTTTTATAAATTTCTAATTATAAATGCTTTTTTTAAAGTTATTTATTGTTTTTTTGTTTATTTGAATCTATTATGCATCATGTGATCATATTCTGTTTTATGAATAGAATACTATACATATTACAATTATACATGTAATATAGTCATCAGTTTTAAAAAATTATTGTTCACTAGTAAGCTGAATAAACTGATTTTATAGAATTTTAGAATTATAAACATTTTAAAACACAAACCATTAGCTAATTTTCTAATTCTCATTTCAAAAATACTTTTATTATTATGAAGAAACTAATATTGTATTTATAAGACATCTGAAAAACTATATTGGGCCATATAGTTTCAAATGATTAAGTTCTGAAAACTATATAATCAAAAACACTTATAACTTTTTAAATTTAAAATTGAAAAATTAGACAAAAATGTTTACACTCATTTTTGATAAGTTGGAAAAGTTAAATGTTCTATTATTTTAGACTTATTATACAGGGTGTCTGATATCTTTATTATTGTACAAATTTATAACACAAAAATGAAGTGATCTATTGAAGTGTGGTTTGCAGTAAAAGAAAGAATGGTTTAAAATGTTTATTTTAAACCATGTTTAAAATGTTAATTTTATTAGTATACATTTAATAAACCTTTGAGTTCTACCTTCAGACTCATACAGAACTCTTCTTTAACCTGTTCCACAGATTCATCCGATGTCGGTAGGCAACTGTAATCTTTTGACTGCCGACCACTTTTTGTGTTTTTAAATTTTTGCATTTAAGTATAAATTGAAAGGATATTTTATGATATCTTTTTATACTTCTTGCAATACTCCCTCTGCATAGTTATAGCAATTTTGTCTCAGCTAACCACAATAAATAGTGTCCTTTTTCCTGTATTGTCACTGTTTTTAATTCTGCAAGACACTAGCACTGTTGTAAACATTTGTGCTAAAAAGCTTTTTAGTTGTTATTTCTTTTACTAAAACTGCATTTCAATAGATTTTGTTTTTCTGTTATGATTTTGTATAATAATAAAGATCTCAGACACCCTGTAGTGTATTTTTATTAATACACCATGCATATAACATTTTAATTGTTAAACATTTTAATTTCAATAGATTGCCTATTTCACAACCAAGTGGAGATGGTAAATTTGTAAATTCTAAAGAAGCCAAGTATAATGTTACAAAAAATATTCAAAATTCTATTGAAGTATCCAAATCAGTTATAGATCAACAATCTCATTCTGAAGGAATTATCAGTAAAGATAAATATAACAATAATTGCAACAATGTTGGAATTAATCTAGTAGATGAAGTTAATATATCAAAATCTTATGAATATGATGGAAACCAAAACAAAACATTAATATATAGTCAGCAAGATTTAAGCATGACATGTTTAGAAGACATAGTAGAAACATCAAGAGAATCATCATCCATAGTTCAGGAGCAAACTAAGTGCAGTAACAAAACAATTATTAACACCATTGAGATGGATATCACACACATTCAAGCAGATGTTGAAACTTTGCCAGAACATTTTGAAGGATTTTTTCAAAATAAAGATTATAACAAACAAGATGAAAATGGGAATAAAACAATGATTTTTAATAATGAAAGTTGTGTGAATTTAGAAGAGACAATGTGTGGCAATGCAGTTGTTCAAGCAAGAAATTTGGATTCATCTGTAAAGGATGAATATCTAAATGAAACAAATGGAACTATAAATGCTACAATCTATTCAGAAATAACCTGTGCATCTTTAGCTGGTGTTCCTGATATTCAAAAAGATGACGATTATAGTTTTATTTCTAGAGATAAAGATGAAACAAACTTAGATAAATTTACTTCAGATATGGAATATGAAGATGATCGATTTGGTAATAGTATTAATAAAAGTCAATATGAAAACAGAATATTATGTGAAAAATTAAAAATAAATGAATTTCATGAAAACCATATTTTGGTAAAAGATGATGTGGTAAATACACAAAAAATGTTAAGAGAAGATGCTAAATTAGAAGAAAAAATATCAGATAATGCTCAAACTACTGCTATTCAACCTACTTCAGAAGCAAAATTTTTACAAATTTGCAAAGATACTATAAAAGACAGACAAAAGACTATTGGAATATCTCAGCTTGATAAGAACACTGGATTCAATTGTAATAGTAATGAATCAAAGCATGATAAAAAAATTCTGGATGACAATTTTAAATGTAATTTAGAAACTGATGAAGTTCAAAGTTTTGAGAATTCTGGTATTTCAGAATTTCATTTTGAAATAGATGATAAAAATAAAATGGAAAATCTAATTGAACAAAATACTGAACAATCTGCAATAAATCTATCGTTATGTATGTCTGAAAATAAAACAAAATTTTCTAACCAAGAATTGGATCTGAAAGAACAGAAACATGAAAAAAATTACAAAGAGAACAATCTTCAAGATAAAAATATTGATAATTTAACAAATATCACAAGTTGTAAAGATATAAACAAATCTCATAAAGAAATTATAGATTTGCAAAATGATGATAATTGTGGTTCAAATGTAAAAATAGATATCATAAATGCAAATGAAAATTTAGATGAGAGAATGTCTAATAATGATCATTCAACACCAATAGAAGGTGTTTTTGGTAACATTCCGTATCCATCAGATTTTAATAGGAAGAGTTTGGTTGAGATACATCAAAAGAAAATTGATACTGAGGAGTTGCCACAAAGATCAGTTAAAAGCATTTTTGATAAAGAGTATCCATCAAATTTTAAATGGAAAAGTTTGACAGCCATCCAGCAAGAAACAAATGAAATTAATGAGTTTTGTCCAAAATTGATACCGAATGTGTGTTCTGATGAAAGTACAAATGATGGATGTGTGATAGAGGAAACTTGTCAAAGTATAAAATTTCCAACTTGTTTTAAATGGAGAAGTCTTTTAGCAGTGAATGAAGAAAAACTGAATGAGTTACCTATAAATTCAAGCAAAAATAATGGATTACCGTTAATAAATAATACTGTAAATAAAGTAGATAAAAATGATTCGTGTAATTTCAGTTCAAAAAATATTACTAAAAACTCAATTGAAGTTTCCAAATGCAAATCTGATGATAAAAGATTTAAAGAAAAAACTGATGTTTTACATTCTTTCCAATTGGAAAGAGAGGTACAAAAAGATTGTGCAAATTCTTCAAAATTAATGTTTGAGAATGATAAATTTAATTATTTATCTAGGATAAGTGATACAAATGTCAAAAAACCTTTAGACAAAACTGAAATAAATATTGATGAAACAATGAATTTTACAAAAAAACTACCTGATGTATATTTTGAATGTTGTGAGCTTCCCAATGATGATCAATCAAAAGTAATGCCTGAACAATTTTATAAAACTTTAAATGTAACAAAGATTTTTGATGATGATGATTTGAGTTTAACAAGACCCATACCTGATTTCTTGAAAAATAGTTCTCCAAAAACTATGGTAATAGATGAAACCACAATTATGCAGGAATCTGACATGAAAATAAACAAAAGTTCACAGAAATCTTTAAATAGAACTAAATTTATTGATGATGATATGAACTTGACAAATATTAAATCATTTAAGTTATTGGATGGAAATGTTTTACCTACTGAAAAATATGAAATAAATACAACAATTTCAGCTGATGTACTTTCAAATTCAAATGTAATTAAAAATTTGAGTGGGAATATGAACAATAAGAATACAAGAGAAAATATTGAAAATTTTATAGATCACTCAAATGATGATGATAACTCATTGACTGATTCTGATGCATTACAAAACAATGAATATATTAACCAACAGTTACAAGAAAAAGTTAATAAGTTAAATTATAAAAAGTCATTGACTCAAACTTTAAATTCAAAATCAGAAGAGAATAAAAGTATGTTATTGTGTGAAGAAGTCTATGACAAGATACAAAGCAATTTGCAGTTGATGTCAAAAGAAAACACTATAGATTTTGTTTGTGATAAAAAACTTATTGATAGTGAGTCATACCCTAAGAACAACAACAATGAAAATAATTCAAAATATGATAGTTACAGAAGTTTAAATAAATCAAATGCATTTTATGAGGAATCTAACATAGCTGAAAAAGAAAATTTATCTTACATAAAACGAAAAAGAATTCATGATGAAATAAAACTCGATGCTTATTCTAATTTAAAATTATCAAACAAAAAACCAAAACTTGCTGATTCTGCAGTTAGCTGTACTTGGAAAATAAGTGCAATTAAAAAAGCAGATAATGAAAGTCTGAAAGTAAATGAAAGTAAACACTTGTCTGATATAAATCATTTCCATTCAAGTGAAACAACCGAATTACCTAATCCAAAATCAAAAATCCCTGAAAATGAACACAGTAATATTAGTTCTAATGCAGAGATGATGGATACTAACACAAATTGTAAAAATAATGAAAGCATAGAATCATATAATGAATTAAGCCAACCAATAGGATTTTTTAAAGCATTTGAAAAGGATAGTGATTCAAGCCAAGATACTGTTACTCAGCCTTATTCCCTACTGAATATGGTTCCGATTAAACCGGTAAAGAAAATAAATCAAAACATTTCTGAGATGGATGATGATTATTTGCATAAAAAGAACTCTGTAAGCAGAACTAGGTGTGATGAGAATAATTTATATTCATCAAATACAGTTTTGCCTGAAAAGCAAAATGTAGAATTTTGTAAGAAAACAAAACTCTTGAATAATTTTGAGAAGACATATGAAAGTGAAGAAAATCAGAATTATGTAACTAAAAATGAGTCACACTTACATATCTCTGAAAGGATTTTGAGTAGCAGCAGTAACTTTAAAGCTGTGAATCAATCAGCAGCTCTATCAGAATTATCAAAAGAACAACAAATTTCATGTTCAGAAATTGATGATATTGAAATATCGCCTGTCAAATTTGACCTTCAGAAATCTCCTAACATTTCTACTAATAATGACAGAGATACTTTTAATGTTACTGATTTTATAAAACAAAATACTTGTAATTTATTTATACCTATGAGTTCAACTCAAATCATTAATTTTGATAACAACATTACTTTCAATAAATCAGAAGTGGAGAGTATTTTACCATTAGAAGAAACAAGAATGAGTGAATGTCTTCAATTAGGTGAAATGGATTATTGTAATGCTGTTGCATCTCCTAAGCAAAGCACAAGAAATAATAATGATAAAGTTAAAGAAATTGATACACCTGAGAAAAAAATTGAAAATATTCAGAGATCAAAGGTTTTAGGTATTAATGAAACTTTTGTTAAAGTTCCAATGGGAAAAATTACTACTACAAATTCAATACAATTAGAACTAGATAATGATCTCACTAGAACTAAAAATATATACAAACCTGATAAAATAATTGAAAATGTCAGAGAATCAAATGCTGAAGAAAGCAATAAAACTTTTGATAAGCTTGCAATTGAAAAACTAGATATTAATACTGCAAATAAGAATGAAGAAGCAATGAATAAAAGTAAAAAAGATATAAGCAGCAATAGTAAAATGAGTAATAGAATTGAAGATAAAATTTCTTTAAGACAGAAAGGTGATGAATCTGAATTACATTTGAACCAAAGCACAGTTTCACAAGTTGAAGTAAAAAATAATCATATCATTGAAGACAGTTTACAAGCTAACCGTGTTAATGAAACTAGACGTGAAATTTCTAAAAGAACATTTATTAACTGTGATGCAGTTTTCGAACAGAATGATGTAACTACTAATAAAAAAATTAGATTAACAGAATCTGTATGTTCAACGACAGCAATTATTGGAAATTCTATTGTTGATAACTGTAACAAAGAAATAACTAAATCTGAAGAGGCAGTTGTTCTGCCAAGAAAGAGTGATTTTGATAAGGTAGAAAGAGAAGAAAAAGAAATAAAGAATGAAACTTTACTAATGAATAAAATGGAACAATGTATTTTTTGTAATCCAAGTATTTCAAAAACTTTTCTTGGAAACTTGACAAAAAATTGTTTAAATGAAAATGGAGATCAACTAGAACATGATTCATCATGTTGTAATAAAAGATCAGAAGATGAATGTGTACAGCTTTTACAAGAGGTATGTTTTTATTAAATTATTTGTGTTATGATTAGAACATTATGGTTAATTAGAGTTAGTTTTAAATATTCAGCAATAATTAATGTAACAGAAGACAAATATATTTGAAGTTTTATATGTGAACATTATAACTTCACACAAGTAGATTAATTTAATAAATCATATACAAGAACTGTTCAAGGTTGATCTGCACATTTTGTAACTTTTGTCACAGTTAGTTAACTATGACATTGCTATAATATTTGTTATTTCGTAGACAGTAACTTTCTCTCCCTGCCAAGAGTGAGTTCTCCCCTTTGGTGATTGTTCATAATGAATCAGACAATATGTCGGATTATGTTTCTGCAAACATGAAACAACAGTACATGATAAAATTTCTTGTGAAGAAGAATGTGAAACTAAAATTTGGCACAAATTGCATGTGTATATGGTGCAACAAGTTTAGCAAAGGTTGATCAACTATCAACTGAATTTCAAAGACAACACAGGATGTGATGGAAGTCAATTTCCTGATAGAGGATGCAATGATCAATGCACAATATTGCTCTTCTCTTCTAAAAGATATACTTTGCAGTGCAATCTGCAAAATTGATCAATAAAATTGAAGACAATTATTTTACTGCACAAAAATTTACACCCATATACACCTATTATGATGACTGTAACTTTGACAACTATAGACTGCAAATGCAAATTCTTCAAATACAGTTTAGATTTAGTTTTAGGTAATTTTGTTTGTTTGAATTGTTATAAAAGCATTTAGGAGGAAAGAAATTTGTGACAAATGAAGCCCTGTAGGATTGTAACCTGAGTTGGCTATGACAACAGTTGATAAACATTCTACATTGCTGGAATTCAAGCCCTTTCAGTACAATGTGGAAAAATTTCATAAATGCTAATGGGGATAAATTAAAAAGACCACATAATTTGAACATTGCATCTCTAATACATTTTTATAAAAAAGTGCAGGTCAACCTTGAATCATTCTCATATTGAAATTTGGATATGATGATTATGTAAAATTTATTAATATTTTCATATTGTTAACAGGAAAATTATCAAAAGTAATTAGATTATCTTAGAATTCCTAATGTTTAAAATCCAACATTTTTATGCAGTAATTTAAATTATATAGGATTTACCATTTATTTTTTGACATAATATGAAAAACTCAGTATAAAATAAAGTAATTCTGTTGCTAATTCAGTCCAAAAAAATCTTAATATAAATTTTATGTTCATTAATACATTTATTGTTTTATGTACTGTACAGTACCTTAAATTGCATTTTCTTTATTTTATAAAATGTGATATATTATTGAACTGTTTATCGTTATTTTCATTTTTTATTGAAATTTATAGTTATTACAGAAATTTTAGTTTATATCTAGTACAAAATACTAATAAATTAAAATTGAATGTTAGTGGAAATAATAATATACAATTTCAATATATTTTACAATTTTGATCAATTTTTTATTTAACTCTGCACTCAGCATTAAGTGCTCATGAAGTTCAATATGAAAGAAGGTTAAAAATATTAATATTCATTTTAATATTTTAGTTATGGAATTTTTTATTGAAATAATAAGCAACTTTGTTTTTTCTCTTGCCATATAAAATAAAATTGTTAATAAAGATTTAAAGCTCAATTTATTGTCGTTACCTGTAAATATAGTAACTCACAATCAAGAGTTAGTTAATTTATTGCCAAAAATTTGTTCATTTATTCATTACGTAAGTTTATAAAGAACTGAGGATAACTTACATCTAATACAACAAAAAATAACATTAAAAGACCCAATAAAATATTAAAATCTAAATAGAAAATGCATACATAAACAAGGTACTAAACTGACAATTATATGAAAGTTAAAATTATAAGTGATGTTTAAAATGATTAAAATTATAATTCAGATAATATTCCACCTCGTTTGTTATTTACAATACAGAAAAAAAAGGCATTTTCAGATAAATTAAGTCTTAATTGTAGACAAGATGTATTAGTATTATGTGAAAAATAAGAAGGAATATGTTATGAAGTATAATTGGGTGGAAGAAAGCTATTAAAATTTATTTAAAAAAATAATACACATAATCACCAAACATATGCCGTAAATCCATCGGGCTAGTTTTAAGGCTAATTACTAAATAAATTACGTAATTAATTTGGCACTAGAGGTAAGCGTTAGGCGCCATCTCTTATTAATATTAATAATTATAAATTAATTACGTAGTTTATTTAGTAATTAGCCTTAAAACTAGCCCGATGGATTTACGGCATATGTTTGGTGATTAGCTATATTACATTGGGTTTAGCGATGATTGTAAATAATACACAGTCAAAATATTTAATTCTTAAAAAATTCAGCTAGATCTAAGTGTGGTCTGGTGACATCAATTCTGATGTCACCAGACCACACTTAGGTCTAGCTGAATTTTTATCACTGAATTATCAGCGAGTTTTAAATTAATTAATTATAAATTTATTTTAAAGCACTTTTAATGATATGCAAATTTGTATTGGAAGCACTAGCTCAAAAGGAAGAGAATAATTGATTAGTGACCAAAGAACAAAAGAAAGAAAAATGTATGAAGAGTTAAACAAGTGGAAATATATTGACGATGTTATAATATCCCTTGACAGATAGCTAGGCTTTTTAAGATTTTTTTTTCTGTATGTAAATTAAAAACTAATTTAGTATAAAATATGACTCCCAATTATTAAGAAAATTTAAAAATATAATTAGAGAGATGATGAAAAAGTATTTACATAATCTTCAATATTACTATTTGATTTTATTTCTCTAATTGAAGTATTTTCTTCTTAAATTTTTCTATATTAAAAAGTAATTTTAATGTTATAATTATAATTAGATGAATATTAGTTTCAAAAATAATTTAATAAAACAATAATTAGAATAATAATTTCAGTACTAGACAATATAATTGTTGTTATATGTTTTTTCTGTTAGGATTCAGTGACCGAAATTGAAAATGAAGATGATAATCTTAACGGCAGCCATACAAAGTAAGTTTATTTTATTATTTAATAAGTGATGGTACTTATAAAATTGTTACAGTAATACCTGTCTATGACAACCACCCACGGTTTCTTCAAAAAGTGGTCTTTTAGACAGGTTGTCCTGTAATAACATATTTCTGTATGTATTTTGCACACTTTTTAGCCATTTCTACTAAAAAGCAAAACTCGAGGTGAGCAAAAATAAGCAAATTTTTTCAACAATAGAGATATTTTATTCTTATCGGATAACCCAATTTACAGGAGTCGTGATATTATAAGACATATTTAATACCAATATTTTGAAGATTAATACAATCATATTTTCTCAATTATAATGCGCACACTTTTTTTTTTGACTTAAATCGACTCTGTTCTTTTAGTTTGCTCCTCAGTTACGTGTATTACGTCATCGATAAACAAGCATGTTCTATCTCTTCATCACTTTGATTTTGGTTTTCATTAGTTTAATCTTATTTTAACTTTAAAAATACTGTATTTTTTTAATATTTAATATTTTCTTAAGTACAATAAGAAAAATTATTAATTAATAATAAAAGTATTTTATTATTTTTTCTCATAATACAATTTCATTACATTCCGTGATTGTCTTTGGACAATCACAGAATCGAAAAAGGAAGATTGCCTGTAAAACTGATTTTTGCATTAATGTGTTTGTTGTTTTTTGAATATTTTGCGTGCAAAAATTATTTGGATATTATTTTTCTAAAAATATCATGGAAATAAGGTAGGTTGATACAGAAACTATTTATTGCGCACGTACTGTATATGAGCTTCAAAATAAATAAATAAAGATAAATTTTATCAAATGATAAGATCAGCCAATTAACTGTATCGTGTACAATATTTTATACCCCTAAGGAAAATACTGTAGGTCTACAGTAAAATAAATTTCGTTTTCCCACAGTTAAGCTTTGCTGCTAATTGCCATTGTGATAAACCATTTTCACTTTTTCTGATAATTTTAACACGATCTTTTAACGACAACACATTGCATTTCTTTCATTTTTTGGACATTTTTCAACAAACTGAAATGAATTTCCTTTGTTGCTAGACTAATTTATTAACACCTGCACCTAATTTCGAGGGTGGGAGAAGTGCTCGGGATGGGTTCGAACAATAGTTTAGACCAGATATATTCACAGAAGTGGTCACTTATTACAGTTGTTGTATGTTGTTTCGGACCAAAATTCGATGCCCGCGGTCGCGTTACACAGGTGGTCGTTTAATACAGGTAACTTATACAAAGACTATGTAAAAACTATTCCATGCCAGAAATTTTTGTCTGTTTTGACAGGTGCCAGTCGAATGCTGGTGGTCGCCTAAGCAGTTTTCACTATACTTGGTATATTTAAAATATAATTGCTTTAACACATTTTTGATTATTTCTTAATTTTGTTTTAGATAAATGTTCATTACACAAAATCAAATACAAGTTTAAATTTTCACATTAAATACACATTTATGAGACAGTCATTAATTTATTTATTCTTAGGACATTTATAATTACATTAATGTTAAAAGTATATTATTTCATTTTTGTTTATTACATTTATGAATTTGTTTATTATGGAAGAAAAATATACAAAATTGATTATCATGGCTCTCCAACATGTACACAGACACTATAAAATATATAGACTCATGCAGTGCTCTACAGGCAATCAACAGTTATAGGATAACAGTCTACCCAATTTTAAATAACATATAATGCTTACTTCAACATCTCAAACATGCAGGAAATACAATAGCCTTCTACTGGCTGCTTCGATGTATAGGACTCCAAGGAAATGAAACAACAGACAAACTCATAAAACAAGAAAATGAGAATCAAGCAAGAACATTCAGACCATATAAAGACCTGAACAAGTATCTCTTGATTAATGCAGTTAATTAATACCTCAATCCTACCATGTATATCAAAACTGTGTTAATCAAAATATAATATCTATGTTAAGTAAAGACAGCTGGTAAATCTGTGTAAATTAAAACTTCTACCACATATATAAAGGGATTGCTGCAATTAATTTTGCACATTAATTAAATCCCACATTAAGCAAAACTGCATTAAGCAAGGGATACCTGTATAGCTGTATCAATGAGTACAGCACATATACAACAAATGGCAATAGGACTAAGACAGATAGCTCCAAAAAAAACTAAATATCTTAAAACCAGAGTTAATAAAATGGATAACCAGCCAACAGAAAAATTGGATAGTAGTACTAGTACTTGCGTGACTGAAAACTGGATATACACAAGATTAGCACATAACTATCTAATAACATGGATACCCAATCAATTTGCTCAACTTGCCACACCCCCACTTACAATCCAACATATACTAACATACCCTCTGTATAAAACACCCAGACAGGCGACCAATATTTTCAGATGACCAAGCTCGATGGAATATACTAGACAATAATAGACAAATCTGAACATATCTGAAGGTAATAAACTTATACACAGAACTGTAGGACATACAACAGAACAATTATGACATATTAAAAAAACCAAGAGAACAGAGAGACCTGGTACTCTTTGGCCTACCTAGACCCTTGTCCACAAAATCCCAAATCCAACCAACAAAACTGATTAATAGAGAGTGCAGGCTCATGAACTTATAATGAAAATGTATAATAATGAGAACACACTTTAAGATTAATGAAATAAATACTTATGATAGAATATTTACACTCCTTTTTACTGAAGCAGCATTAATTGCCTCATTGATAGTATGTCTCACCATATAGTGGCCTGTATGGCTGCTCATGGGGACCATATTCATTACTGAATAAACAGGTGTCTATTGCATATCTTTGTTCTTTTAATCATAATTTGCATATCTTTGTCATCTCTACCAGTTCTGCAATATGCATGTGGATAAGCATATTCCTTCGTGGTGTTGTGATTTCACTTTTGAGCACAATTTTGCCTACAGCATATAAGTTTCAATATTTTCTAACTTGAAATTTGTTGACTCAAAAAATAATCATTTGTATCAAGTTTAAAAATTCACAAAAATTGAAGAAACACTGAATAAATAAAGAAAAAGTGTTCTTTGCAGTATGTTCTTGTTAAACACTTAGAGAACATAACATGAGACAGAGTCAAGTTTTCATGGTAACTACTCATCAGTCTGAATATGAAAAATATTAAAAATACTTCATTTCAGGGATGGCATAATCATAATAAATATATATTAAGAAATAATGCCATAAGTCTGTTATGTTCTTGAAGTGTTTAACAAAGATAAAATGGAAAAAAGCACTTTTATTTCTTTAGTTTCTTCAAATTTTGTGAATTTTAAAAAATTTATTATTATCCTGGCTATTTTATTGATTTGTAAAGTATTTAACATATGTAGAGGAATACTGTTTCTTATATATTTTATTGAATAAATTCTGAAGTAGTTGAATATAAGGTTTGTTTTAAATTTTAAAAGCATTTTTCTCACAATTCAGGAATGTAACATGTGTTGCAAGTAAATATTATATAAATATATGTTATATTTTAAAGTTTTATTAAATGATTCATCTTTATGCCATTTGTTTCTCTTCTAGTAATGCACAGAATAAATTGTTTATATATTGCTAGTCACCCAGTAAGGCTTTATTCTACCAATACAGATCTAGATTTGAATATGATTCAGACTTATAGATAGAATACAATAGGACGTGAATCATTTGTACTAGCTATCTCATTGTTAGGCTTGAAATAGACAAAAAAATTATGCCTGGCCATATAATGCATAATAGTGTGTTTAACTTTATATGTTAAATAACTATCATTTACATGCATTGATGCAATCAAAAATTTGGCTATATATACATTGTTAATCATAATTAAAACTGATATTGCATAATTGAAAATCTTGGTGCTAGTTTTCATTTTATGAAGTTCAAAAGGAAAAAATTTATACAAACAACTCAAAAATATTTAAAACCAGTGTTTTTGACTATAAATTCTTACACAATAATTATAAAAGTATGAAAATACTTAGTTAGATTTATTTTAATATGTAGATATTCTCATGAGAGTAGTAAAGTTTATTGTCCTCAGAAGAATGTCATTTAAATGTTTTTTGAAAATAAAAAAAATACAGTAGAGCGTCGTTTATCCGAATCAATTGGGGACTGGGGTTGTTCGGATAACCGATTATGTACAAAAAAATATATTAACTTATCCCATGTTGAAATTTTTCTCCGTTGCATGTCGCTTCGCATTGAATTTTCATCGTAGTTAAGCTTAATGTAAACTTTTTAAAATAATAATCGTGGCTATTGTATCGTTAAAAATTATTTCTTTATTTTTTACAAACAAAATAAATATATTGAAAAATATAAAAACCAAAAAAAATTATACTTTAGAAGTTGATCTAGTATCAAAAACGTTCGATTCAGCACTACACACAGTCCTCAGAAAAACACCACACAAAAGTGCCAGTGCTGCCAGCTAAAACACACACACACACACCAGCAAAAGAATATTGGAGTAGCCAAAGATTGCTGCCCCACAGCACTAGCGAAAATTTAAATTTGCCGACTGGAATGCTTTCGGATAAACGACGCTCTACTGTATGTTATAAATTCATGGGAATTTATTTCTAATATTTAATATAAAAAGTAAGAAATGATTGGATCCTGTAGAATTACATTTAATTTAAAAAAACATAAAATTATTTTAGACAATAATCTATAAATGTATTTTTAACTAAACAAAATATTATGTAATTTGAAGAATTTTTGTTTTTGAAGTAGTTAACCAATTTGAAATCTCTTGATGCCTTGTTGAATACTGTTATTAATATGATAAATTTGTCTAGATATGATCATTTCAGACATTAAAAGGAATTGAAATTCTTTTGAGTTATACGTTTCTGTTCATTGAAAAAAAATTGACAGAAATGAGTAATATTAATATGTTGATTTTAAATTTAAAGTGCTCAGGAAATATTCTATTTTTGAAAGAAGTTAATTTAACATGTGATGATGTAGTTTACATGATTATTTAATATAATGGAAATAAGAACTTAGCAGGTTTTAACACTAGCATTTATGATATGCAAAATTAAGTAAATAGCACTTTACTAAGTTAGTTTTTATTATTATATTTAGAAATGTATGTTTTTAATTTTTTATTTTTTTTATTATTTTCATCTTTTGTTTCAAATTTAATCATGAAGCAAAATGAATCAGCATCTCAAATTATATATATGAATGTGAAGAGATTTTGTTATCTTACTGAAATTTATATCTGTGAAGTTTTATGTCACATGTAATAAAAACTATTCAAAGTATAAAAGATACTATGCTGGATGAATTTTTTTGGAATAGATTTTTATACATCAAATAGCAAGTTTTAATTTCATAATAAAATAAACAACATAATTATTATGCAGTTTAACTTTTCATTTACTATAATAAATACAATTGTAGAAAGTTAAATGATTATTATCATTAGACAAAAATATGCTTTTATAACTATGTATCATGTATATTAATTTTCTATAATTTGTTAGTTTTTAATGATAAAGAATATTTAGTAATTTCAGCTCCTCTGGAGAAAGAGAACCATTACCAGCTTCACCAATTCCATCACCACCACCATTGCCACCTCCACCAGCAAAAATGTCAACCATTCGAAAACTACGTGATGAAATTAACAGCTTTTACAGGTACATAACATTAGATATATCTCTGGTTTTTATTATTGTTTTCCTAGATTCATGAAAATCTTACTATTCACAATAATGTATTCTTTCAATGTCATTAAATATGAGAAATTCATGTTTCAAGACATTAAATTTGTGATAACGACAGTAATTACAACTAAATATAAGCTGTCTAGTTTTGAGAATGTATTTCATTATTATTATTATTTGATTTTATTATTTTTGTGTGATTAATCAATAAGAAAAGAATCTGAATTTAAAGCATGTATTTGTTTTACACAATTCTTATTTAGGAAATAAATAAAGTAGAAAAAACAGCAATATTTGAAATAACAGAAATATACCATCACTATGTATAAAAATGTAAATTTTTATAATTGATGTACTGGGTAAGTATCCCTGTTCAATGTTGTCTACAGAGATATTTAGCAGTCAAAATGCAACCAAATCTGGTATGGCAACATTTCAGGACATGCTTAAGACAGTTATGTAAAAAAAAGCATCAAAATGTATCACTAAGGTATTTTTTGGTGTTTGAAACAAAAAAGTAGTCTCTCTTACATAATTACTTACATGGGTTACAGCTAAGTTCTGGCTATAAAAATGGCTACAAATGTCATTCCTATCAGCTGCAATGACATCACCTTGCTAGAATATGCTTTTCTTGTGAAGTTGTTTTATGGAAAAAACAATGTTGCAGGTGTTGACCTTTGGAAATTTATGCTGAGGACCATTGACTTCACAAGCTTTCAGAATACTTACCTGAATGAATGTCTGGGATTTAAACCTGGATAAGGGTGCTAACCTATCGCTTTACAAGCTATTGAAGACGTTATCACAGCTGTTGTTGAATAGTAAACGAATAGTGTTGCAGGTTCCAGTAGTGCACATGAATGTCACAATAGGTGAGTGTATCCTATGGCACAGTGTGGAAGGTACTGAGAAAGCAAATATATTTTAATCCATATAAGATCAGCTGCAACCAGCAGTTTCTTGCCACTGACTGAGACTAACCATACTGACCTTTGCATTGACCATCTTTGTAACAATAGAAGTAGAGGATGCTGTAGAGTGATGAGGCACATTTTCACTTTAGTGGAATGGTCCTGTAACTGTCAAGGGTTTTTTTATGTATCAAATGCATGTTTTCCTGAAGATTCTACCTAAAGTTATAAAGTTAAATTATACTTAACTAAAGTTAGTCTGATATGGATCTTGGCTATTCTTCTTCAGAGAAGTTAGTCCCAAAGGGTCTGTGATGTACTCTATAACAGCCTAGAGATACTGAAAGATACTAAACACTTATTATATCCAAATTGAACAGTGAGAAATGCCTTTAGTCAACCACTTTCATACAAGAAGTGTCTCCATATATGCAAACTGCATGCGGTAGCTTCTGTGACAGCAATTCACCAATAAGAATTACTTGTACAATTCCTACCTCCTGATCACCTTGTTCTCCAGATCTTAATCTTTGCGATTTTTGATTTTTAGGGACATTTAAAATATGCAGTTTATCAAGGACATGTGCAAATTTGGCAGCTTTGAAAGATAGTATCACACTATGTGAGATTTATCATGGAGGATCATTTATGTTGGCTGTTGAGCACACTGTTCATTACTTTCGGAATCAAACAATATCTAGCATCAATTTCCCTAATAATGTTGCTAAGATTGTGAGTTTTGGTATATATTCTTTTTTAGTAGAATGTCTACTCCATCTTCTAAAGTGCCATATCAGATTCAATTGTATTTGAACTGCTAAATATCTCTCTAGATGGTGTTGAATAGGGTTATTGTAATTACAATCACCTGGTATATCAGAAAATGAAAATTTTGACATATTTGTAAATTTATTCAACAAAATGCATCCAAACATTTTTTATTATTTTTGACTCAATTGACTTATCTAAATGAGATCACTATATTGACTGAAAGCTACACTGCTAAAAAATAATGTGAAGATATAAAATATTAGTTTCTACTGATATAGTATATGCTTGATTTGTAGTTCTTTTCAAATTAAATTAAATTAAAAATTATTTCTCTCAGCATTAGATTATATTTGACTAATTGTATTGCTTTGACTTCAACAGATGGAACAGAGAAAGAATAAATTTTGAATAATTGTGTTGATTTAATTAACATAGTTAAATTCTCGGAAGATGTCTCAACTTATTTTTATTTAGTGGGAAATTAAAATTTCAGAGAGTTTATGAAAATACTGTATCAAAATTCCATTTGAGTTAACCATTTCAATTTAATGTGCAAATCCATATGCCAGATGATCACATTATAGGTACAATCACATTAGGGATCAGCATAGGTACAATCACATTAGAGATAGTTTAATGACAGCTGCTATTCTTGAAGGGTACAACTGACCTTGCAACCCGCACCAACTGATTCACATGCATACAATGTTCCATCATCTACTCACATTCATATCCCTTAGCAGGGCACTTGAGAGCACTCACTCTGGGTGCACGGATAGCAATTAGCTTTCCCTTGTTTTGTTTCAACTGTCAGTATATAGCTGCCTTTCAACTTTGTATTAATTCTGATTTTCTGTCTTCTTTTCAGTCTAAATTTGGTTAGTTTAAGTTAGTCCTAATTGTAAGTTAGATTAGGGACTCTTAGCTTGGTTTCTGGTTAAGTTATGGTAGGTTAGTTAGTTAGTAAGTTAATGTTTAGAAAAAGAAAACAAATAATAATAATAATAAATAAAAAATTGGAGTCTTTCTCGTTTGTCTCGGCTAGTTAGTCGTTGTGTTCTGTCATTTTTCGTGCTGTCTGTCTAGCTGTTAAGTAGTACAGTAGAGCATCAATTATCCGACTCAATTGGGGACTCAGGTTGGTCGGATAACTGAAAAAATCGGATAACCAAAAAGAATGAAAAAAATACATTATTAGTATAGTATATTAGGATATCCCATGTAATTAGTATATTAGTATATCGCTATTAACCAACTTCACATTGAATTTTCATCGATGTTTAGCCTAACAAATTTTTTTAAAAATAATAATCGTTGCTATTGTATCGTTAAAAATTATTTTTAAATTATTTTATTGCTCGTAAAACAAACAACCACTCATAATTAGAAAATTAAGTCTCGTTTAAATACTGGCCTCCCTTCAATGGTCGAGCCGGTGTTGCCAACTAAAACACGCAAAAATTTAACAAAAATAATATTAAAGTATCCAAGACATAGCCAAATATTGTAGCACCACATCACTAGCGGACATTTGAAATTTGCTGGCTAGAACAGTCGGTTAACCGATGACAGTTAATCGGGGGTCGGATAATCGATGCTCTACTGTGTTAAGATTCATGCTCGCATTCAGTTTTATTAGTATTAAGTAGATATAAGTCTTCCTACTAACAGTCACTTGGCACTAACTTCTACATTTAGTTATTTATGGAGGTACTCAATTAGTGGCGTTTGCTACACTTGGGTTTTCTTATAGACCCTTTGGAATCTACGGCCTTGCAGCTTAAAAACTGCTCGCCAACATCAATCGTAGAGGGTACAGTAGCCATACATATGCCGTTCAGAGGGATCCTATTTTTTTACAAAATTTTGGGAATTTTCCATGAGCAGTATTTAAAAAATACTTAAAACTATAGTTTCTTGTTATTCCTTTACCATTTCTTAACCATTTTCTTTTGACAGTAATGTGCTCAGTAGCTTCGTAAAGTAATATATTTTGCTTATTGAAATCACCCAAATTCTAAAATTTATCAAAAATCTTTTTTCTTTCTTCTGCATGGAAATATTTTATACAACTCTTTGAACACTAGCAATCTTTGTTTTGGAACACCTTTGGAAGCATAATTTTTCCATTTTGAGTATAATATTTTTTTCCAGCATTCCATTGGATCTTTCATAACTTTTGAGTGTGTGTTATCATTCTTGTTTTCTTGATATTTTTGTTGTGGAATCATGTGAGACATTGACTTTACTCTCTGTTGATGAATATGTTTCTATGATTCTTTTTCCTTTTCCATTTCCAAAATCAGAATTAGTACTTTTTAGATCATCTTCACTTTCTCATTCCACCCATTCCAAAAATCATTTTTTGGATTAATTTGCATCTGTAAAATTTCTGTTAATAACAAAAAAATCAAACTTTCGTTCAAATTTCTAATAATAATTATTATATGAACATGTATAGGTCACAATTTTTTAAAATACCTACATCATTGTCTGAGTAACTTGAAGGTAACCATTTTTAAACATTGAAATTTATATTAAAAACAAAGCACAAATTAAGCAATCCAAACTTAAGGAAACTCTAAAAATAAGCAAAAGTTCTTAGCAAGTGAAACAATAATATTAATTACCCCAGTTTTCAATGCACATTGCAGGAGAATAGTGCACTCTTTCCGAATAGGTTGTGTAACTACAAAACATATCACAGCATTGCCAGATGTTTTTAGTGTTTGTAGCCAAAAATTTTCTATAAAGTAGCCCAAAGGTAACCAATTCAAAAATTTCCTTTTTATTAATAACCTGAGATTTGACGATAAAATAAAAAACATACCATTTGTGCTTTTCCAGCAATAACTTTCATCATAATAAATGTTTTCAGCCAATTACAGGCTTGTAAACTGATCAGAAATAAGGATTGCAAAACTCAAAATACATGCACACACTGTAATTTATCAATACTATGTTGAGAACACTCATTTTATCTGCAACGAATGATCTTGTCAAGACGGACTATAAAAAATTAATTTTTTTATGTAATATTCTTAATGGTTATTAATTTGCTATTACAAAAGGATTTATCAAACTACAAATACATAAATGAAAACATCTACTGTACTTGGTGCCGACTTATGATTTCACTCCTTTCTTACAGTGAATTCTGTATATACTTGGCAATTATTATTTTTTTTTTACCTTTTTTAAGATTTTTTAGGGGGTAAAATTATCAGGAAACTCTAAGAAAAGTAGATTGTGGGTGCACAGTAGGGTTACCATTATCAATTTGCATTATATTGGTAATCTTTCTTTCTTTCTTTCTTGCTTGTTTGTGTTGATATATTATATTAAAATTATATATTTA